ATACATTGAATTGTTTTACTAAATTGAGTCTTCTTCCCGCCTTTTATTTCATCTCTCTCAATTCTCTGCCTATTGTCAGATTATGTTCAACACTAGTTTGAAATTCCCTTAAAAGATAATCCGAAACATAGAATTTATGATAAGGTCTAGTGAATTCCCTTAAAGGATGCAGATAATTCGAAACGTAGAATTTATGATAAGTTTTAGTGAGCATTCATTTAATAACCTGCTTCTCATATTCAAAAAGAAAATCCAAGTGTGATTTTACATATAGAAATCTAAATATGATTACATGTATAAATATATCCACCTACATATATAAACATATAATTTAGGGATAATTGCAGCTACGGTCCCAAACCTTTCAAATTTTTGAGCACTTCACCCTAACCTTTGATTTGTGCCAGCCACAGTCCCAAACCTTTCAAAAATATGCGCTGGAGGTCCAAATGGATGGATTCCGTCCGTTTGACCGTTAGTCAACCAAGAATAGTAAAGTTTGACCAATTTTGACAATTTTAAAAAGGGCAAAGTGGTAACTTGACAATTTTCACATTAAATAAATAAACAAAAACTCTCAGCCCAACCCCAACCCCAACCCCACCCTTCTTCTTCAGCCTTCAACCATCGTCACCGGCCAAAACACCGTCGTAACTCCGGTCAGCTGCCATCCCTCCCTATCTCCTTCCCCAACCCCACTCTCTCCACCCCCAAAACGCCACCACCACAATCAACAAAATCAAAACCCACAAAATCCAGAATTTTCTCAAATCTCTGGTTCTCAAACCCACAAAATCCACAATTTTGTTTTAAGCTTTACAACTCCAGTGCTAGCAAGAGAATCCACATTTCCAGTGCTCGCAAGAGATCCCTTCTCCTGCTTCTGCAGGTTGGGAAATGTTTCCAGTGCTCGAGATCCCTTCTCTTGCTTCCAGTGCTGTAACGCTTCCCCGGGTTGCCAAGGCCTACAAGGAGCCAGGGTTTAAGATTTTCTGGGTCGGGCGAGGTGGCTCTGCTTGGAGTGGAAATTGAAGCCATTGGCCTGCGGCTGAGGGTTCTAACTGAACAAATGTTATTTGAGCAATGAATTAGGGCAACGGATGCTGATATGTGGTGACACCCTTCAAGCTAAGTCCATTGCAGATCTGGGAAATTTCAGGTTTGGTGTTAGTACATCCCATTTGAGGTTCCCTTTGACCCATTTTTGTTTTGATTGGGTGCAGAAGGGTGGCGTCGGCGGTCGTCTGTAGTTGAAGATGTGATTTTGGTTTTGATTCGGGTCGGTAGTTGCTGATGAAGTGCCGATGATTTTTTGTTGTTTGTTTTGTATTAAGGTGGTCGACGGCAGCCGAGGATGGAGGTTTCACTCTGGCGGCCGACGACGACGACGACTTTAGTTGGAGGTGGAGAGAGAAAGTGGTTGGGGAGGAAGAGAAGGAGGGGTGGGGTGGGGTGGCTGGGTTTATTTGTTTTTATTTTTGGGATTTTAATTTATTTTTTAAACTTATTTAATAGGAGAAAAATACAAGTTACCACTTTGTCCTTTCTAAAATTGTCAAAATTGGTCAAACTTTACTATTCTTGGTTGACTAACGGTCAAACGGACGGAATCCGTCCATTTGGATCTCCGGCGCATATTTTTGAAAGGTTTGGGACTGTGACTGGCACAAATCAAAGGTTAGGGNTCGACTTAGGAGTGAAGCAGTCGAAAGCAGCCTTGTTATTCTGTGATAAATCAAGCAATCCCATTTTCCATGAAAGGACGAAGTATATAGAGATTGATTGTCGTGAAAATGTTGTTTACAACTTCTTAGAATCAAATTGCTGATCTGCTGACAAAGGCCATTGGTGGAACCAAATTTAAATTGCTACTACACAAGATGGGAGTATTGAATATATACTCCTTACCTTGAGGGGGAGTGTTAAGCCCTTTTAGATTAGCCAATTTTAGATAAGGTTATTTATGTCATTGTATATTCCCTCTTCATCCTTATGGCATGAGCTTGCTGTTCAGCTCATGTATAAATAGGTAGTAGATGGTATCAATTATACATTGAATTGTTTTACTAAATTGAATCTTCTTCCCGCCTTTTATTTCATCTCTCTCAATTCTCTGCCTATTGTCAGATTATGTTCAACACTAGTTTGAAATTCCCTTAAAAGATAATCCGAAACATAGAATTTATGATAAGGTCTAGTGAATTCCCTTAAAGGATGCAGATAATTCGAAACGTAGAATTTATGATAAGTTTTAGTGAGCATTCATTTAATAACCTGCTTCTCATATTCAAAAAGAAAATCTAAGTGTGATTTTACATATAGAAATCTAAATATGATTACATGTATAAATATATCCACCTACATATATAAACATATAATTTATACACATAATATTACCATTTTAAAATAATTAGGGCTAGGTAGGAAAAATGGTCAATTAATGTCTGGAACAAAGTGCCATTTGTCGTATTACATTAGTGGACGACATGCAACCATTTGACAGAACAAATGGAAGGAATGATATGAGATGAGTTTTGCCCAAAGAATGGTAAATGAGGTCCAAACACCAAGAGTGATGATTTGCACAATAAACACAAATGATTGTTACATTTTGTGTCAACTACCATTTTCTTATTCCACTTCAGTTTTTAGCTCATACTAATAGTGATGGCAATTGGTCAAACCGAGCCGATTCGGCCCATGTACCCACAAGCTCGTGCGCTCAAGGGCCGAGTTGAGTCGAACTCGGTACACGAGCACAATATTATTTTATTTTTTAAAATGACCAAACGGTCCATTTTTATGAGCCCAAGAGTCGAGCCTTGATTGGCTCATTGTTGAAGCCCTCACTTGGCTCGTTTTGAAAAAAAGTCCGAGTCATCCATGGACCAGCTCCGACGAGACGAATCGAGCCGATGAGTTACTTGGCTCTTTTGTCACCTCTACGCACTAAAGTGCATTTATTCCATTATTGTTAAAAAAATATATAAAATATATATAAAAAAGGTTTATTTCTATCGTAACACTATTGTAAAATGCATTTTCTACAAAATTAAAAAGGGGTGGGTGGGGGGGGGGTCCTCAAACAAGAATAATTTAAGAAATAGAGTATTGAAATATATGTTTTATTAAATATAATTAGTGTATTAAGAATGTTTTAAAAAGTTAAAATGGAAAGTATTTTAAAACTTAATTGACTCTTTAAAATGGAAATTATTTGATATTTAGAGAGCTTAAAGATGTTATAAGGGACCTGGCAAAAAGGAAAGAACTTTGCTATGTGTATAGTCTTGGTACACAGCAATTTACACAACCCACACACATGGAGGTGGGGCTCACATTTTTGTGGGCCCCACCCCATGTGTGTGGACTGTGTAATTCACTGTACAAAAAGGTTGTACAACAGCTTTTTTCAAAAGGAAAAGATATTTTATAAAGTGGGGCCCTATCCTGTTTCTTAAGTCAACAACATTAAAATAAGAATGGGGTAATAAATAATAAAAGAAAAATACACTTCATATGACCTGAGTGAATAAATGAGGAGTTATGCTACATGTATTGAGTTGAGTTACAAAATTGGTTAATAAAATAACATTTACACCAATTATTTTAAAGTTGATTTTTAAATCATTTAAAATCAATGTCTGAATTTCGTCAACACACTTTATAACCCAATTTTTATAACTCAATTTTGTACAAATTCAACCCTGTTGACTCCTCAGTGTCAGTAGCAAAGGATTTCTTCAATTTCGTACTAACGGTTTAGTTTATTGGAATTTGCTCCTTTTTTTGGCTGATTGTTATGGTGATCAGAGCAGGTGAAGCTGTGTCATGTGATTACTGCGGTGATAACCCGGCAATAATCTACTGCCGCGCAGATTCGGCCAAGCTGTGCTTGTCATGTGACCAGCACGTGCACTCAGCCAACGCCCTTTCCAAGAAGCATCTCCGCTCGCAGATCTGTGATAATTGCGGGTCGGAGCCCGTTTCTGTAAGGTGCGCCACTGACAACTTGGTGTTGTGCCAGGAGTGTGATTGGGATGCCCATGGTAGCTGCAACGTGGCCTCCTCACACGACCGGGTTCCGGTCGATGGATTTTCGGGTTGCCCGTCGGCGCTCGAGCTGGCATCGGCTTGGGGATTGGAAATTGAGGATAAGAAACCGTTGGGTTTGAGTTCGGGTTTGGACCAGGGTTGGTGGGGTGGGTTGTTGGAATCGTGGATGAGTAAGGATGGTTTGTCCAGCTCGGTGATGTTGCAGGATCTGACTGTGCCGAATGGTAATTCAGTAATTTACTCGAATTGTGGTGGGGAGATGATGAAGAAGGGGAGCCCCAACTGTGGGAAGCAGAAGCAGGTGATTCTGAAGCAATTGCTGGAGCTGTATAATCAGGAATTGGCTGACGTCGGTATCGATGGTAGTGGTGGTGGGGAGGAGGAGGAGGTTGTACCGGGGACTCCGAGGTATCAGGGTAATGAGATTGTGCCATACGAGGAACAGCCACAAGAGAAGCAGCAGCAAAATGGGGGTTTTACTTCATTGCTAATGATGCAAAAACCCCTTAATCCAAAAGAGAAAGGGAACATGTTATGGAATACAAGCACATCTGATCACGGCGCACAGGTTGTTCATCTTTTTTTCCCAGAAAAATATTATCATTTTGGTTTTAATTTGACAATTGCATTATAATTATTATTCTCTGTATATAATCTTGTATTTTTAATGATTTCGTGCATATTCTAAATCACAAGCTAATTTAATGCTTGATACTTTGAGAAGATGGGATTTTCTATGGATTGAATGACTAGATAAAATTCATATTTTTTAGGTTTTTGGAGATCTATACATCTGTAATTAGAGACTGGTCATGAAAAGTATACTATTATAATGTTAATGGTCTCTCTTTTGAAGGCATTTTGGACAAGCACAATGATTTTTGGAGGATATTCTTAAGCATATTTTGTCACCAAATGCTGAATCAGATATGTGAGGGGACCAAGGAACAATGGTTTTTCTTGCCAGTTAATGATTGCTCTTTCTTCTTTTTCCCCACTTGGTCATACAAGTTTTTAACATATCACTTGCCATTTTGGATCTGTTAGATCACTTTCCATACCCTTTTCGCTTGAACTTAGTTTACTCGGTTCTACATTAGCTTGCGAAAATCCAAGGTCTGTTTTTATCTCATAACTTTGAATTTGCATATTTCACAAGTTTTATCTGAGAGCACAATAAATTCTCATCGTCGTTTTACTGAAACTACTATTTTTCCTTTCTTTTCTTACCTTATGTGTGTTTAAGCATTTTTTGTTTGATCTTATCAAGAACTCCGTTGGGTAAACATTCACTGATCATTGTTGTTGCATTTGGTTTTGCAGATATGGGATTTTAATTTGGGACAATTGAGGGGCCTTGAGGAATCTGGTGCGCTAGAAATGGAATACGGTGCGAGTGACCAATACATGGTGCAAAATTCTGGAAAACTCCTGAAAGGTGCATCCTTGGCAACTAGAAGAGGAGTAGCCCTCCCTGGAGTAAACTTTCCAATTGCACGTGAGAATGTCATACCCTTTAATGTAAGTGGTTCTTCTGTGGCCATCTCTGATTTTCTAATTTTTCATTTCATTAGATTCATTGGTGATTATATCGTTCAACTATATAACATGCATGTTCATAACCTGCATTCCAATTTATTAAGAAAATATTTGGCTCTGTCCAGTTTGGAGAGACGCTGACAACTGCCAATGCCTTTATGCAGTCCTTATATCTAAATGTCGATGCAGTTACTTTGCTTGCCATCTTCATTTACTTGTTACTTAGAAATTTAGAATTGTCATTCAAACATGCTGTCATTGAGAAGACAAAACTAAACAGTTTTTTGTCTACTTGTCATTCAAACATGAAATCATTGAGAACATGTTACTGAAGTAAGGCCTGGTTGATTCTCGAAAGTTTGAATCTTTAAGAGCGACTAAACATTATGTTAAATTAATATAAGAGAGTTGACTCTTTGCTTTGATTCAAGAGGATTGAATCAAGTTGTTTATTCTTTTGGTGAAGGCTTGATTTTAGAGGATGATTCATAAAGGTATATGTGGGACCTAGTACTGTGCATATTTTTAGTAGTCCTGTAATTTACTTGTCAAAGGAGCTGTGCTACTTGGATCTGAGTATGGTGTCACATGTGGGTATGTGTCCATAGCTTAAAGTCTTGTCCTCGTAATACCTCAACATTTTTGATACCTGGCTAATATCAAAATATAAACAATTTGCACGTATTTATTTTCATTGATAAATGATGCCTAACATCTTCTAAACTTTTCAAATGCACAATTCACATATATCAGAAATGGGCAAGGAAGAAGTTAAGCAGCATCAATATGACTTCAAACTCCTGATCAGTCCAAAGAATCACAATGTTTTAACATACCCATTTTTCGAGTTTTTCTGTCCACGTGTTGTTAATGCTTCTAAATTAATATCAATGAAAGAAATATAATGAAGGACTGACATGCTGACTATCATTTTTTTCTGTGTTTTGGATTCTCTTTACTCTGTCCAATAATATCACGTGGAGCTAAAAATATGATAAACTTTGTTGAACTAGAGTGCCTCAAATATTCCAACAGCAAGCCCAGGACCTGCAACATCTGAGAGCAATAATTTACCAGTATCAAGGCCAAAATCATGTTCAGGTTTTTCTATGCCCAGTTCTGGTGGCTCAAAAGACATTCATTTTGTGGATCATGCTGTTTTGGTGAAAAATGAAAGCACCACAGCTGCAATAACTAAGGCTGATATGGAGCTTCTGGCAAAGAACAGAGGCAATGCTATGCAACGGTACAAGGAAAAGAAGAAAACCCGAAGGTACCTATTTACTCTTATTTTCCTTTCAGCATACTTCGTGCCAAACTTTTTCTACTAATGGATTTCCAATGTGCTGTATATGATGACAATGTTGTTTTATAACCAGATACGATAAGCACATACGGTATGAATCAAGGAAAGAAAGAGCTGATACAAGGAAAAGATTCAAAGGTCGATTCGTGAAGGCTAGTGAAGCTCCAGATGGATAGGCGACTTAATATCAATAATTCTGTTATTACATATTTCTTGCTTTGCTTGTATGTAAAACTTCATGTTGCCACATGGTCTTGTCCAAACAAGATGTGTGATTTTCCCAAGTGCTCTCTGTGCGGTTGTGCGCATATAGTTGCATGCTCATATGACCCCATGTTATGTGACGATCTTATCATGTTGATGGGTAGGAAGATGGAGTTCTGTTTCAGAATTATGTGAGCCCTGAATGATTTCTTGAAATAACTTCACTGCAGGCAAATCCAAAGCTAATCCAAACAACAAATTTGACAATGTTTTTGAAATTGAGCGTCTCTCACTACCCATCCTTTTACTTTCCCATTATCATGATTTTTGCTGCTACCTTGCTACATTTTGATCACTGTGTAACAAGGACTTTCTATGTTTGGCGGTTTTGTTGAAACCCATATTCCTCATTGTAAAGGTTGATTAAGTTCTTGTTTGATTCTTATTTTTTTCAAAATGCATTTCTCTCTTTTTTTCAACCACACATTCGTCAATAAAATAATATTACATACAATTCAAAAAAAATTCATTCATTTTTAACTACACATTATCTATCAATCTACTATTTCAAAATGCATTCTACCTAAAAAAATGGGGCTCAAACAGACCCTAAGTTGTTAGAGAGGGGACGATTTTATTAGTTTAGATTGTCTTGGACATGGGCTACATCATGGCTGCTTGGGATTCGACAAGGAGTCCCCGATCTTGTATCTTGATGCATTTGTGAACCCTCAAGGAGCAAGTGGCAAAATTCAAATGCCTAATATTATAGTAACTAATCAAGTGGTGCTTACCATGTGACCGGGGTAATTAGTAATTCCGGGTTGGCATTCACGAGGAATCTATTGTTACATTTACTACAAAACATGTCCGAATCTGTATTTACTGCAGAAGCCAACTTCAAGTTCATGTAGAATTTACTGAGTTTGGGTGATTATGGACCCCAAATTGTAAGGCAAATCTTGTTGTAGATTGCTTGTACCTGTGAAGTTTGAAATTTGGAGTTTAACTTTGCGCTCAACAAACTAAGGTAAATAAACGTACAAGCCTTTTAATTATTTAGTATGTTTCAGGAGAGTTGGTGTTAGAAGAACTTTGTGAAGATTCAATGTTTCTTGTTTCACTTTTACTAGTTGAAATAATGTAAATGCAAATTTTTTGTGATTTCATATGCAAAACAAAGCATTATTTGATGGAACACAAATTATACGTACATACATTCGTTTTACAGGGAAGTGTCCATGAATAAATTGATGGGACCAATTCAATCTGAACTAGGACCACAGAAGAAACTTGTAAGCCTGAATCTTTACTACAAACACCTCACTGAACCCTTCGCTCCATAATACTCTGATACCTAAAGTCTCGGAGTGTATTAACCTAGTTACAATCATAGGTCTGCAAATAGAATCCACAATGAATCAATAACCAAGTTTATGACTGGCTCACCAGGCTTGAAAATCTAAAGATTTTATAATGCCTAGTCTCAAAATAAATGGCCAAGATAATTTGTCTGATAAGTTATTCTTGTTCCATCTGTACAGCTACGTCTCAAACAACAATTTGTGGGGTGCAATTTCAACGTCGGGCTCCTTTTCTAATTCCACAGAAATACTACTAAAACACGCAGAAAAAATTGCAATTAGATTGTAAATTAATTCAGTCACAACCTACGGGTGAACATAGAACGATTGTGTAAGGAACAATAACCTCTCGAGACAAAATCCCAACGAAGGATGTTTTATTGATGAAAATTACAATATGGACGAAGTGAAATGTCTCCAAGGGGCACAAGCACACTAAATTTGCAAAGTAATTGAATGTTAAAAAGAAGAAAAGAAATAAAATTATATAATTCTCTGTTTGAGAGTCGTTTGATCTGATCCCTTTCTTNGTTAAAAAGAAGAAAAGAAATAAAATTACATAATTCTCTGTTTGAGAGTTGTTTGATCTGATCCCTTTCTTCTAAATTCTTCTCTCTTTTGTAGTCCTTTGACATTTATCCTTGTAGAATTGTTTGAAAACAGCTTCTCGATCTGTAAATACCCACATTCTCCATAATGGATAACTTGTCAAGAAACTATCGTTTTCAACCACTATCATTACTCCCATCACTTAACTTCCTTGCAACTGAGATTCTTAGATCATGAAATGTGATGAGATTACCCATTAACTACTTCAATAACCGTTGCTCCGAATAGTAACCCAAACACTACATTCGCCCAAATCTTGGGCGTCTCAAAGGTTTGAACAATGACAGGCTCGTCCAGATCTTGGGCTTCTGGGAGTTTCGTAGGCTTAAGCGATGATCGGCCTCTATTACATAACTCCGTCTTGGGTTTTTATATGGTCTCGTTTGGG